GCAAATTTTCTTCACAAATCATTTCGGCCATTTTTTGCCTATTTTGCTCGTCGCTATAAGCAAAAAGGCCGCCCTTACCTCTGTTAGCAAACCGAGAAATTTGGGTTTGCACTTCTTGTCGTCCCTTTTTTTTGGCCTCGTATTTGGCGTACTCCACGGGATGCCTCGACCTTAGGTGTTTTTCCGGACCGCCATAACCACCGGAAACTCCCATTTTTATGACGGTCCCGCAATGTTTACAAATTCCATAAACTATGCCATCTTTTGTGTCATTGTCAAAATGATAAACAAATAAATCTGATTTATATTTTTTTTTACCTTTGTCCGAACCTCGAGAGGTCTCGGGCTCACCTGCCTCCACGTCGACGTCGTTGCTTTGCGGTGTAGGCTCATCGTCCCCGTCAAGATTATCCAGTCCTGCTTCATCAACATCCTCGAATAGACTATCAAGAGTGGGGAGATTCGCGTCTTTTCTACCAGAATAAATCTGGTTGAATTCTTCATCCGTCATAGCGTCCCCGATTAAATGATCTGGGACAGTAGGAAACGAAGAGATGGAGTGTCTTCCTCGAGAACCGCGTCCGCGTGAGGTCGAACCGTCGGAGGTGGCTTTAGCTTTGCATTTACTCAATCTTCGGTTCACGTCGCCCATATCCACGGACCGTCTACCGGACTCCCTCGACATTTTAATATATATTTTTTTGATATTAAAATAATATATTACTTTTGGAAAAATTAAAAAAATTTCGAAATTTTATATATTAAAATTTCGAAAATTTCAAAAAATAAAGAATGTATTTAAATTATTTAAAGATTAAAGAATATATTTAAAAATTAATAATATTTAAAATTTTGAAAATTTTGAAAAAATTTCGAAATTTTATATATTAAAATTTTGAAAATTTCAAAATTTTAATGTATGAAATTTTTATATTATTATATGAATATTAAATGTATAAAAATTAAAAAGAGATAATAGGATTGAGAGATTGATAAATTGAGAGAATGAGAGAATGAGAGATGGATTAAGAAATTGAGTGATTTTTTATGTAAAAAATGTGAGAATTTAAAGATAATTTCTTCCCCCCTCCCCCCCTCCTCTCTTCCCCTCCCCCACCTCAACGGCGAAATAGCCGTTTGAGGTGTGCCCCCCCCCCACTATTTTTTTTGGCTTTTTGCAGGCGGCTTGGCTTGGGATTAGAAATGAACAAAAAAAAATGTAACCGGTACCAG